ACAAATTCGATTATTCTATTTATTCTACAAAGACAAGCCCAAAAAAAGAAGCCTGTTCGGCTTAATTTAAACACACGCATGTATTGAGAAGAACTGCTTTAGATAAGAATTAAATTAATTATATCATCAATACTACAAAATATTATTAAAGATACTGATAAATCATCTATATAGAGTTATGTGAATCTATTCATGTATTAGTTCGTTTTAGCAACTTTTTTTCTTGAAGAATAAGCTTTACATTTCGTTTACTAATACTAACGAATGCTTTCAAAGAATCAATGTATTCAATTGGGTTTCTCATCTATTTAACTGCCATATTTAACGTTTTTTTCTTCTATGAATTTTAACCATGTCAAACTTATCCTATTTCATCATTTGACATTATGAGGAAGTATGTAATAAATAATATATCTCAGAGGTGCGCGAATACAAGTACAATTTGTACTTTCAATTACTCATAGACTTTCATAAATCAAATATGTACTCTGACTACCATATGTCTTGGGGAAAAGTTTAGAATCGGTGGGAATGTACTCTGATCGTCATATGTACTGGGAAAAGTTTAGAATCGGTGGGGATGTACTCTAATGTACAGGATCGAGAAACCTAGAATTACTTGGTATGTACTCTAATATACTATCGGGTGTGGGTCTCCGTCTGAGAGAATATCCATATTCTAAGCTCGATAGTACATGAGAGTACATCCCAGCTGATTCTAAATTTATGGAAGTGATGTTGATTTCAGAGTACATTTTATAATCGTACTCGCGCAGCCCTCATAATCTTTCCAAGTGATATTTCAACGTGAATATTTATTTTTTGTCATACAAATTAGAGAATAGGCGAGTCTCTTCGAATGATCAATAATCGTAAATTCGTAAGAGAAACAAGAATTTCATAAATATTCTTTTGTAGGTTTTTTTCTCTTATCACGATGAACTGACCATTTCAGACTAATCGAGACATATCCACTTTTCATTTGACTTTAATTCATTATAAGGATTATTTTTCTGAACAAGTTCCTTTAGCATAGACATATGTTGGCTCTTTTAGCTGTCTATTAGTTAGAAAATAATTAGTGAATATCTTTCTAGCCATGAGAGAAACACATCTCTCAAAAACTTCCTCTTCAACACCGATTTTCTAGAGATCTTTTTAAGTCTCTGAATAAAAATTTTTGTTTTAGCATTTTCTAGAGAATCTGACGGAGGATTGATACGATTTGGAATTGGTTTTGAACTTCTCATTCTGTTATAAGAACGTCTTTTTGTACTCTGTAATATCGCTCACGAAAAGTAAACGAGCTTTTTTTTTTGAAAGACCTTAGCATGCTGAGAAGAATCTTTGGATAGAGATTTTGTAGTCCCAAGAATAGTCTACAGAATATGATCTTTATTTTTCAGAAATACTACCTTAATTCTGACTTATTTAAAAGTAAAATGCATGAAGTGAAATTTGATGTCCTGTTTTGTGTCATGTCGCTCGCGCTGATATTTTTCAAGGTAATAATTTAACATACATGAAACATGCAAAAATTAGCTCTAGCAAAATTCATTATCTCGAGATACACATGTTTTAATTTTCCGAAGACACGTCTCGAACGAACGATTTAACCCATATTTCTTAACCAAATTAAGAATGATGTAAAAGTATGTTATCTCGACTTTTATTTTATTTAGTTTTTCGTTTCTTTTCTAAACCATAAATAAAGAAACATAAATCTTTATATAAACGTATGTGTGCGACAACAATGAAAGAACATAAAGTTTGACATACAAGAACTGATCCGCACAAGGCAAAAAGAAGAAATGAATAGACCCAAGACAATAAACACACATATATATTTTTTTTGAAGACATATATTAGCAAATTTCAGAGAAAAATGGACAACAAAAAAAATAAGAAAAAAAAAAGAAAAAGTTACATCCCATACATAATGTTTCATTTTATTCACTCCATCGTGTTCTTTTTTTCTTTGTTTAATAATATTACCAATCAGCGTCACCTACCGCTTTACTAAATACATAATCACGTCCTTCAATATTCATTACACCACTTTTTAATATAAATCGCCATTTATTTTTATTACGCGATATCTAAATATAAAACAAATTCAGACAGCATGTTGCCATTATTTATTCGAATATTATTTCATACTTTATCATATTGACATACAACAACATTATCTGTTTCAAACAATTCTGTCGGTTCATCATCACTAACATCATCATCTGAACAAAGTGGATTAGGATCTTCTTTTCCTTCTTCATTGCCATCTTCATCATCATCATCATCTAATTCTTCTGCAACATCATTCTAAAATATATCATACTTTTTTTTAGCTACTGACTAAACAATGAATATTTGAATATTCAAATTTATCCGAAAACTTTAATGTCACAAAAAATTATCTTTTTTTTTTTATTTTACAAGAAAGAGTCAAGACTTGTTTTGTAAATCTATATCAACAATGAATAATAGTTGAACCTTATATGATAGTTATAGTTTTCGAAAAAGTTATTAATATAAAATATGAATGAAAAATGTTTCATGTTGCATGCATTTCGAATTGGACCCAAGTTTACTTCATTAATCCTTGTAAAAACTCTGATTTCAATGAACAGCCGGTAGCTGTCATATTGTTTAGCAAGATGACGTCGTGCCTGAAAGAACAACAAACTGCTGAACAGTAGTCTAGAACTAAGTTTTAATCCAGAGATACCTAGCTGAGCCCTACGGAATAGAACCCATCGAGTTCAGAAACATTTGGATTCAATGGGCTCTACCAACAGAAGATCAATAAATTAGATCGGAATCCAACAATTTAGATCAATCTTTGCTGGGCTCGGACCTGGTTTCGGGTCCAAAAAAGATTTTATTGACAGGATTCGGGTTTGGATCTGGGTCCAAAACTTCTTCGATCCGATAGCATCTACTACGAAACGTATCAACTATTCATAGAAGTAAAGCTTTATGTAGAGATTAATGAAGTAAACTTGGACCCGGTTCGAAGATCTTGTATGAATTTCGGCTCGGACCGAAAATCAGGCTTTCCAGTGCTTCAATTAAAAGCTAAGCATAAATTAGAAAAAGACAATTTGCTAAAATCATGCTCTCTACAAACATAAGGATGACATGATAAATTTCATGAACATCAGCTGTTTCTACAGTAGAAGAATGCTTATTCTAATTAGTCCAATTCACGAGTTTCTTACTCCTTCTAATTCGCTATCATCTTCCTCGTCATCCTCGTCGCCGACCTATATAAAAATAAAGATAATAAATTATATATAATAAAAAAATCATAATAAAACAATTTACAGGTGGTCCTGTTCCATCAAGTTGTAATGATATATGAATAATTTTTGATTTTTTCTTGTGACGTTTATTTTTCGTCGTACTGTTAACAGAAAGAACTTCATCATTTGCACCATCTAATTGATTCGATGCTTTCATTGTACTATTTCCCATATTTGTTTGATTCTATAAGAAAAACAAAAAATACATTTTATTTTAAAGAAAAATTTATTTCTTTTTTTTGTTGTGCTACTGGTGGTCGATTGGAAAAATTAGGTCGAATGTGTTGTATTGTACTTGGATTTGTTGTCGTTAAAATTGCAGGATTATTAGTAGTTGATGATGCAAAAGCTGTATTAGAAGTAGATACAGCACTAAATGATGATGGATGTAAATGATTTGGTCTCATTCCTGTTGTTTGTCTATTATTTAATGATGAAGCATTATTTGTTTCACGGGTATTTGGATGTCGAAATTCTCGATTTGTTACTTGATCAACAATTGATACTGGTAAAGGTTCTAATGCTCTTGAGCCGTCTAATTTTGCTAACCATATCTACAAAAACAAACAAAATGTTTTTACTTAATAAAAATCTTTCATTTATTTATTGTTTTTTTTTTTCTACAGTTCGAAGTTCTTGTAATGTATGATCATCATAACCTTCTTCTGAAAGTGCTTCACGTACTGCTGTACAAACATCATTAATAACATCTTGATAAATTTTTTTCTAAACATATGTAATTATTATTGTTTTTCGCAATAAAAAATAATAATAAAATTTTCAAGGCTTACAACATCACTACCAGCCATTGTTCATTCGTTTCAATTACAATAATATTTTAAGAAATATTTTTCATTAAATTATTATATAAGTTTTGGTTAGACTCGTTTTTTTCTTTAAATGTTGTTATTGAGTCTGACGAAAATGTCTCCAGCAAAAATGTTCCTTTTATACTCTTGCTACCCCTTAATATAGACATGGATGTTTATGGCTAAAATTTATTGCTAAAGGCGAGCGCCACAAACAATGAAAAAATACCATTGCAATAAACGCTTTAGATAAATGAAGATATTTTTATAAAGAATTTTATTGGTGGAAAAAAAAAGAAATTCATTTGCAATAGGAGTATATATATTGTTGGATGGATATTAATTGGGCAATTGAAGATTTTTGGATTAGAGAATAAGAATTTATTGAAAATATTAGAAGAAATATGGTTAAGAAATTTTAATGACAAATTTTTTATTATATTTAATTAAGTTAATAATAAAAGTAAATTTTTGAGAATATGATTTTTCTTTTATAAGGGTTATTTATTATTTATAATGAAAGATTATCGACATTGTTAGATTAGTTCTTTGTTCGATTTAATTCGAATAATTGTCCTTTATGTAGGAGAAAAATTTCTCGGAACAAATCGAAGAAATTCATTTTATTTTTTACTTTGAAAAAAAAAATCAGGATTTTCTCATAAATTTCTATATAGACTATTACTAAAGGTCGTTTTGTCACGTGTATCTTTTATTGGCTCTATTTAACTCGAATTCTTATATAAACGTTGTAGATATAGACGAGCCATATTATTCATTTCATAGATGATTGATAATATGCATCATTGTAGAAACATCTATTTTCTTTCTTATTTGTAGATATATATAAATATAAATAATTTTCTTAACCTCCTTCTTTTAACATAAAATGGAATCATCAAGTGATCTTCGTTCAATGATTGAACAAACATTAACAATGATAATAACACCAGATCAACAATTAATTGAAAAAGGTCAAACACAACTACAAGCATTAGAATTACTTGATATATATGCACTTGCATTAACAGAAATAACTATTGATACTAAACGTGATATTAGCGTACGACAATTAGCTGGTGTTTTACTGCGAAAATATGTTAGCAAACATTGGACAAAAGATATTGAAAATTTTATTGAACCTGAAGTGCCTGAACAAGTATGTCGATGAGCTCTATGTCTTACGAAGAACAAGAATATGTTAAGTATTTTCTTATAATCATGTTATTAAATATAATTTGTATCCAATTTGTATATTGCCATTAATGCTTATTGAATATTCTCGAATACTATGAAGTATCAACAATAAGAGTTTTATTAAGAAGTATTTAAATAAGAAGTATAGCAAATATATCTCATTCAATAGAATATTTAGTAAGTTTCAGATTACGTAAAATGAAAATTATATGTACGATTTTTTGTACTCTTACGAACGGTCATTATTTGTTATTAAACAACTTGATACGTTTGTTATACTTTTTTATTTAAGTGCGTTTTAATAAAATTCTGTTCCTAATACTTCATATTATGATAAAATATTTAGAAGAAATTAACGGAAGTGAACAAGTTGGATATGGAGTACATTTAAGAAAATGATTATAAGGACATACTTAAAGAATCTCGATCTTAGTAAGATATAGAGCTGAAACAATAACAAATAATTAGCATGATATGTATATTTGAATTGGCGAAACTATCACATTTTTTGGATACATGGCTAGAACCTGTTGAGTTCCACATTTTTAGATCAGGGCCCAATGTATCGAACGTTGTTTGAATGTGGGCCCGGATCCGAATCATATTCTTAGTGAAACTTTTTAATCCAAACATGATAGTCACTTAAAAAGTTCGAGAAAGATTTTTTTTTTGTTTATTTGTATTTGGTAAATAGCGCACCTGATACGCTTCTCAGGCAGTTTTGACGATGATCTTATAGGAATCAAGTTATAATTGACTTGTACCTTTAGAGAAGCACTAAGACATACCCGATGGACTCTATATGTGGTTGAGGCGGTATAAAAAAACAATTACTACTCGAATATCATCTCGATTGGTTGCGCTCATACACATAAGCCAGTAGGACAGTGATCAATATTATATTATTTCAAATGAAATATCGATAGAGTTAGGAACTATATTTGTATGGATTGGAGACCTTTGGAGTGATATTTTTTTTTTTTTAATTTCGATATCGAAATCTTTTTTCTCGCAAATCAGTGACAGTCTATGTATCCGACTATATTATATCATTAAAGGTTGTGCTAAGAAGATGAACATATATCTAATAATGAAAGTGGGAATATTGAATGGTGCTGATCTTTTTTTTTCGCAATAATTATTTCTGAAAGTTAATCTAGTGTAGATATTTTCTTTTGTTTTTTTTTCTTATTTCATGTTTTGTGGCTATTGGATTAGCAGTTTTTGTTCACTGAACGTTACAATTGGCAAAAATAAATGCTACATAAGAAAAAATGATAGAATTTTCGGATTTCGATGCAAGGCTTTAGTATAGATTGATATAAGTTGTTCTACGGGATAAATATCCGAACGGACGCCCGTCATTTGAGCTCATATTGGGTTTATAAGAGTGTCTCGGTAAAACTAGAAAAATTCAAAAAGGGGCTGTGTCTATGGATCTCTGGGATCGACTTATGATCGTTTTACTGAATTTCCGATCGAGCCTTACGTATTTACCGAAAAATTACATAATAGAATTTCAATCTGAAATTTTGCCTATAGATATGTCTGATAACCTTTGTAATATTCTGAAAGTTTCAACCAAAGAGAATATTCTTTTCGCCTGAAACGTTCAGGATATTCATATAGTTTACCAGACTTATTTATGAGCAGAATTTCAGGTCAAAATTCCATTATTTGATTTTTCGGTAAATACTTCAAGCTTGATTGAAATATAAGTAAAATTGTCATAACTCCGCTCTAGAGGTCCATGGACATGAATCCTTTTAGAAGTTGTCTAGTCTTACCAAGACCTCATTATGAGCCTCATATGAACTCAAACGACTGGTATCAGTTCGGACAGTGTCGTTCTTAATTGAAATAATACTTGAAAAATATTACACGAAACTAAATAGTCAGAATTCTTTTGACGAAAATTCATATCAGTGTAGAACATTCTCTTATTTACTTGTATTTTAGGTAAAAAGTCAGATACGTCATATTCTCCCTCATGGTTTAAATGAACCTAATCATCGCCTTCGTGTGGGTCTTGCTTGTGTTATATCAGCAGTAGCCGAATGGGATTGTCCTGAATCATGGCCTGAATTATTACCATTTTTAATTGAATCATTAAAATCAACAAATAAATCTTTAATTCATGGTTCAATACGTGTATTAACTGAAATTGTTCGTGATCTTGATGATCGTCAATTACCATATGTACTTCCATTACTTTTACCTGAAATGTATCGTTTAATGGTATCAAATGAATTTAATTTACGTATTCGTACACGTGCTATTGGAGTATTTACATTACTTGTTTCACTTGTCCATGATATAAATGAACATGATAGAATATTATCTGTTGGTTATATATTACCATATTTATCACATTATTGTGAAGCATTTAAACGTTTTCTTATTGCACCTGATTCATCATTAATGACAGATACAGGTTGTCGAATAGAAACAATACGTGCATTAACATTATTATTTAAAAGTTTTCCAAAATTAATGCAACAAAATGCAGCAGAATTATTACAATCTGTATGGACATGTTTAACATCGAATACAGAAAATTATGTTGCTACTGTTGTATATAAACATGGAGAAATGGATGCATCAGTTGATTCAGATGGTAAAAATTTCTAAATAAATTTGTCTTTTTTTTTAAAATTTGTTGTTTTTTTTTGTTTAAAATAGGTGAAACATTAAGTTTTGAATGTTTAATTTATAGTTTATTTGAATTTGTTCAAGTATTAATGGATTTATCAATGTATAAAAATTCTGTTAAATCATCTATGGAAGAATTATGTTATTATTTAATATTATGTATGCAAATAACAGAAGAAGAAGTAAAGTTTGTTTTTGTTTTATCTTTTTTTATCTCTGTATCTTAAAATTGTTGTTTTTTTTCTGTTGTAAAATTTTAGTTTGATTCTTGGTCAAAAAATGTTTCACGTTATGTTGAAGATGAAAGTGATGATTCATTTTCACATTCTGTTAGATTATCTGCTTTAGAATTACTTATGGTATTAAGTGATTTTTGTTTTTATTTTTTAGCTTGAAGTACTTTTTTTTCATTTTTTTTCTAGTCAATAACAAGTGAATTCAAAAAAGAAGCAGGAATTGGTCTATGGAAAGCTGTACAGTAAGTTTAAATGATAAGCATTTTAAATAGATTGCTTACTTGAATTTGTTGTTAATGTTTTCTTGTTACAGAAAATCATTTGTAGTCGTCGAGTCAATGGTTTCATTTGCATAATATTAGAAACAATGTATATATTTGTTGGCTCAGAGATATGGATTAGTTATTGTATTCATACTCTAATTACACAGGGTTATCACAAATAGTATCTGTGTTCATCGCCTGCTTCATAACATTAGAAAAGGAAAACGTTATAAACAGATTGACCGTTCAAGATGTCATCACTAATTTCAGCTGTCTACAATGTAGTTTCTATAGAAAATATAGAGCTTTATAAATTATAGATATTTCTTTAGTATTGAGAACTTCAACTTTTGAATCGGTATTATATGTTGCATGTTGATCCTAATGAGCTTTGAAAAAAGCTCTGACCCTTAGTTTATGGCTTTGATGTTATTGCAGTTGTACAGATATGTTTTAAGCCAATGCCATGGTTCTTCGCAGGAACAGCATAAAAATATGATTTTCAAATTTCAACTTTGCACACAGACAAGCTTTAATGAGAGTAGTCTATTGTAAAAGTTTCAGAACCTTCAATTTACTTCTATCCGGAAATAAGAACATAGAATCTGCCGATGTATATAACTGAGATGCGGAAAGGATACGCTTTTATCATACCTGTGTCTTAGAAGATGAAAAGCGGAAAGATTTGAAACTTTCACAATAAACTATTTTCATTAAGATCTGTCTTTTGGAGATATCCTTGGCAGCGTTGCCACCACTGCGATGTTGTCAGCGGCGTGGCAGCTTCTTTTTTCGGGGAGATTGTAAAATTGGCTGGATTTGCATCCTATTTGAGTGTCTACAAGTATGACAGTTAGAATTGTGGTGAATCTAATGGATTCAATCTAACCGTGCTAATTTATCACAATGGCGGAAGAGATTTTCGAAGATTCTCTTGAAAACCATAGTAGCAGGGATAGTTTTCCAGCTATGATAAACATCTCTGCTGTCTGCTAGCAAAATTTCGAGTCAAAATTTGAAAATCAGATTTCTTAATGTTCCCGAGGAGGAGATACCATCGAGTTAAAAAAATGCTATAATTTCACACTAATAGGATAAAGCGGGGGGGGGGGGGTCCTTTGGGATATTCCAAATTCATTAGGATTTACATGATTCAAATAGTATCGATATTCAAATTCAAATTCCTATGATAATATCTATGACAACTCGTCTATTTACTAGAGAAAAAAAATAGAAATTGTAATAAGTAGTCTTGTCTGTTGTGTTTTACAAATATTTGCCTCATCATTCCATTGAATTAAAGCAGTTTGATATGTATAATGTTTCATAGTCATGATTGAAAAACCTAAAATTCAACAAATACGGTACTTGTTTTTTTCTTTTAGTCGTCATCTATCTCATGCCGAAGCATTAAAGGCTCATAATTCATCCCGATGGTAAATTGTTTTCTGAAAACGATGTATTCATAAATCTTTAATATTACTTTTAAATCTAGGTGGAAACTACATGAAGCTTGTCTCTTAGCTATGGGTCGATGTAAACAATTATTAAATGATATGATAGTTACTGGTTATGTTAAAATTGATCTTGAGGCTTTTATCCGACAAGTACCATTAGCTGATTTATCTCAATTTGGTAAAAAAAAGAACAAAACAACAAGCACATTTCAATATATTTCTTTTTCATTTATCTTAACTTTAGATTATCCATATCTTGTATGTCAAGCCGCATTATTTGCTGGACGTTTTTCACGTTTATTAAGTATAGACGTAAATCGAATGTAAGTTAAACTTAATTATATAATTAAATAATTATTAGACTATTTTTTTTTAAAGATTTTTAGACGGAATTTGCCAATTACTAGAACATGCCCAACATCCAATTATCAATTTATCATCGTTAAGAGCATTTTATTAGTAAGTTAAACATAAATAAATTTAAAAAAAAAGGTGTCTTTTTTTTATAGCTACTGTGAAGAAGTTGGTGTTGATCAAACAAATGATGTTATTAATTATCTTCCACGTATTTTCGAAGGTATACTTGCTACAATGAGTCGTATACCACAATCAGCATATATATGGCCATTAGAATCATTAGCTATATTAATTAGTGTTGATGAAAATTTTGTATCAACGATTGAAAATCGTTTATCACCATTGGCTATTGAACTTTTTGTTAATTATGTACAAGATCCATTAATTAATGGTGAAACAACAGCGTAAATAGTTCTTTGTGTTTTGTATTTTAATCAATGAAATTTTCTTTTCTTTTAGTATAATAAAAGGTCTTGTTCATAATAGTAAAGTATCACATTTAATTCAAGAACGACTTATACCATTAGTTCAATCAATAGTTGATAATAATTCTGTAGCATCAACATTACCACGTATAGCATCAAGTCTTGCATTTTCAGTTCTTGATCTTTTAACAACTGTTCTTCGTTCATTAAATCCTCCAATAAATTCAAATTTATTAAATCAAACATTTCCTGTTGTTATACATTTACTTTTAACAAGTGATGATCAACAAATATTAATAAATGGTGGTGAATGTTTATGTGCATTTTTATCATGTGTATCAACTGATTTATTTTCATGGAACGATCCAAAAACAAATATATCTAGTATTGAATATATTTTACAAGTACTTGCAAAATTTCTTGATCCAAAAACACCGGAAAATTGTTGTACTTTCATTGGAAAATTAATTCGAGGTTTTATTAGAGAAATTAATAAAACAAATCAACCAAGTTTACTTGGAGATACATTAGGACAAATACTTAAAGCTGTATTAGCTAAACTTCAAAGTAAGAATAATGAAATAGAAAAATTGGTTTGATTCATAAATATATAATCGTTTGTATTTAACGAAGAAAAAAAATAATGGCTATGAGTTGTAATTAGAGTCCGTCAGGTTTCAAAGCAACCCGGCTACTTGTAGTTGTAACCGGCAACACTTGTTTGTAATTTTTCATAGATTCATGTAGCTTAAGTAGAATCCTGCGATTCGAAAAATTACCCAGAACCGGAATCAACGATTCCAGCTCGGTTCCGGTTAACAAAAATGGAAAAAAAGCAGTTCCATTTTCGGTTCCTAAAATCTGTTCTAGGAACCCGTGCTTTTACAATAATATATAAAATACCGAGTAATAGTTTTGTTTAGAAATTTCTATATTCCAGTTTTTGAGATTGTTCATGTTTATTTTGTCATAAAAAAAACAACTTTTTCAAAAAGCAACAGAAAAGATGAAAGAATGAGGAAAACACTTTAATACACTATGCTTATATGAAACTATTTATATTAGAAGTTCTAAAAAGAATCTATCTCATCATTTTCTTTATCTTCCTTACAATCATTATTACTAAGGACAATGTCATCTTTGTCACTCATTTTAAACTTTTTTGTTGTTTTAGTAATGGATTATTCTAGGGAGATTGTAGAAGATGGCTGCTCAACCATCTTTCTTTTTGTTTCAGTTATACTATCTTCAACAATTTTTTGCCCATTCTGAACCTTTCTTTTATATGCCAGCTTAAGAAATACGTAGAATGTATCGCTACAGCGATCATAAACCGTTTCGACTTAAAGTTACGCTGCATTTGAATGATTCATTAATTACCATTAAGGGAATTTTCGGTCCCAACGGTTTTGCTTCTGGCTCCGGATAACAGAAACTGAAAAAGTCCTGTTCCGCTTCGGTTCTCAGTTTCATTTTTTTTTGAAACTACACGGCTCTAAACTTATGAGTCCCTATTCACAATAGATTTACTATTTAGAACGGTTTATTTGTGTTGAAATTTTTACTAATGAGGGACCCTAGTAAGAGAAGCTTCTAGTAAAAATTTCTGATTCATAGTACGGTTTTGTCGAGACACTCAAATACACCAGTTTGACCCGACATTTTCAAAAGAAACTAATGAATTTTTCTCGAAATATGTAAATGACAAAATACAGTCACTTGTCACAGACAACACATAACTCCCAGGTCTAATTGTAAATTTATTATTTCAAGAGAGACACATTCGTTTCTTTCGAAACTTACACAAAACTCTAATAATAATTGGGCATATCGATAGGGAAAAGTGTTAGATCAAGATTTATTGATTTGAACTTCTTGACAAACAGTACAATGAAGTTGAAAACTCATCTGAGCGTCTCTAACTTTTCAACAACAAAAGACCATCGGCACGAACCGTTTTTCAACTTATCCTAGTCTTATCAATTCCTAATTGCACGTTAAATTTGAATTGAAAAATACAAAATCAGTTGCACTATATTTTTGTAAATAGTCTCAAAATACTTTATTAGTACTGCGAGATTCTTGAAGTCTATCAAAATTTTCCTCCTTGCAGTCATTATTTATTCTAACTTCGAAAACAAGAAAACAAAATCTTCTAGTCACTTCAAGATAAAAATAAAACTACATATGAGCAAGAGGTTTCGAGGTTCAGGACTAGAACTAATATTTTTGCCATCATAGCTGACTGGCAACATTGTTCAGCACCTATGCACAAGGTACTATGTTCAAACCTTGGTGTCCACCAGTTATGTAATGACTCTGAGCAAGTCACTAATGGCTATTTGATTTGGATCATCCGTCTCATAGCATACTGACAACGTGGTGACATATATCAGCCCTGGTAGTCAGTGTGTATGGAAAGCTGAAGCGATTGAGTGAGAGAACTCTGAATCAAACCGACCTTCTATCTAGAACTACAATTTGTAACATGTGTAGAGAGGATATCGGGTTAATGAAATAACTACCAAACAACACCTTATACTGCAAGGTGAACAGAAGGCGGAGGATTATTCCTTGATCTAAACACTTCTTCATTAGGAACGATATCTTTTATGGTAGTGTAAAACATATGTCGAATGTCATATAGTCACGACATCATGTGTTCTAAATAGAGATGGGGAAAATAGTCCTTACTCATGTCTAAATAAAACTATGCTATCAATTAAGAAATCTATTTATCTCACGATCCAAAAATATACCTTCGAAGAACCTCATAGATTTGTATTATTTCTCATTTAGACAGACAATCACATTTAATAGTATCCGTATCTGCATGCGTGATCAATATTCTCGAAATACAGAATATTAATAATCGATTTGATGATTATCAAAAAGGAGATATGAAGTATCATGGATTAGAAAAAAGTGATTTTAAAGCAAGTTTATATATTCTATTACTAGTTTGATATTGACAGTGAATTAAATTTTTTTTTTGAATAATGAAAAAACCATTGGACTCTATTTCGAACCCAAAATATTTAGGTTCACAAGTGCTTAGTGTTCAACAAAGTTTAATCCTTGTATTTGCCCATTTAATTCAAAATAATCTTAATGATGTTGTTAATTTTCTTACGTCAACTCCTGGACCACAAGGTAGTAGTGCATTTGATTTTGTTATGTATGAATGGGTTACTAAACAACATCTTTTTTCTGGTCCATATGATATTAAAGTCAGGTAAAAGTTTTTTTTTTTTTTCTAAGTAAAAATATTTTTCAACAAAGAGTAAAATCAATTCTTTAAGTATTATTGCATTAACTGGCTTATTAGAATATGCTATGACAAATAATGATGTACGTTTTCAAACATTAATTGTTCCAGGTGATCAAATTATTTATCACCAATCAGGTCAATCAATTTCACATCGTACACGTTCAAAAACTTCTAAACAACCTGAACAATGGACACGTGTACCATTAGTTGTTAAACTTTTTAAAATTCTTGTACTTGAATTACAAAATCAAATTAATACACGTAAAGAACTTGAAGAAGATGCAAATTTTAATGATGATGATGATGATGATAATGATGATGGCGATGATGATGGTGATAATAAAGAAAAAGATAATGATGACATAAATGAATCGAATCTATTAAAACCAACTGATGATGAAGCAACAAAGTATTTAGAACGTTATGATAATTTACTTGATGATGTATTTGATTATGAATTTTTTCAAGAAAAAGATCCCGATGCATTTAACGATCCAGTAATGCAAGTTGATTTACTTGATTATTTAAAAGAACGTTTACATTTATTTGCAAGACATGCATGGTTTAATATATTTCAACAACATTTAAATTTAATTGAACGTAATGCATTACAAAAAATTTCTATACTTCCATAAAACAATAAAAAAGAAAAGAAAAAAAGAAAAGTAAACAGTGAGTTTCATCATTCCAACTTCTTTTTTTTTCTTCTTTCTCATTTTTGTATTTTTGTAAATTATTCAAAATAGACTTGAATTTATTAGGATTTCTTTGTCTTTTATTTATTCTTTTTGTTCAGAAAACAAATAAGAATAGAATCGATGAAGTAGTAAATATAATAATTCAGTAATTTCAACGAAACTGATTAAACTAACACCAATCCATAAACCTACATTAAACAAAAAAAAGAAATAATAATTCAAAATAAATAAAATAGTTTAAATAAAACCTGTTTGTCCACCAATACTTGATATAAGATCAACCCATGTATACATTGGAGATTCCATTAGGATTTCTGTTGGATATGGACTAGCTGAGATTTCGACTGCTACAATATTATCACGTATTACCGTACGAAAATTAGTTAGTAATTCATTGGATATATTTAAAGAAGCATAAGAGCTTGCAATACGACCAAAATGTGTTCGAACGCGTTTTGAAACTTGTTTGTATGCGTTTGAGTTTGGATAACGTGCATAAGATGATTGAACTGAATATTGAATAATTTCACATTCAGGTAAACATTCTTGACATAATTTACTTGGATCTTAAAAAGAGAAACTAATTAGTTTTTTTTTGTTGCGTTTGTTTTAATTTGCTACTTACTGAAGTGAATACGCCGAGTAAGACATTCATCATCAATTGAACATAAACTATTGTTGTTTGTTGTTTGAGTATTATTACAATTTTTATCATTGAAAAATTGATAGAAAACAGCTATTGTTGGTTCTATACAATGACATTGTTCTTCCACAAAACGTTTTTCACATAATTTATAACATAATGCTTGAGTATATCGTATGGTATGTGTACGCAATATTTGTTTCATATCGTCGGTTAATTCATTTCGACATTGTCGTGAAAATGATGTAATACTTTGTGAAAAACTAAGTTTTGTATATTTATTTGGTCCTACGAAAAGACTATTTTGTGATAGAATAGGTACTTCATGTTTACGATGAATAAATATACGAAATGCTGCTCGATGATCTAAAAATACATTAAATTGCGGTTGATGAAGAAATAATTCAAGATATAATTTATAATTATTATGTCCAATATCATCATCAATTGACCAATCATGACGTAAATCATTTGATTCTTTATCTTGAACATCAATATCATTATCAAAAGTATAACAATTTCCATAATTTGGATGAAACAATTGTGTTAAATTTCGATGACAATGTCGTTTATTAAATATACATCTTATAAGAAGATCATCTAACTTAAAACCCCAATAAACAAATGGATGTGTTTCACCATTAGCTTGAGCAGTAAGAATTCTATCGACATATGCAGAAAATGCTTTTCGATATTCCGCTTCGGTTACAACCCCAGATATATTACGGCCTGGTAAACGAGATTTTCTTACATCAGTAAGAAACTTATCGTCTTGAAGAGGATTGATATTACCTATAATATAGATTTTTTAATAGTTTTTGTCAAATTAAAAATAATCTATTTACAGAAAGTAATAGCTGGAAAATGAGCAGGATCTCGATATTGTCTTATACTTAAATGAATTTTTGTTGGATGAGTAATATAATTACTAATAGCTGTATAAATAAAAGCACACATTAATATTGTAAATGTCCAAAAAATAGATGTCCAAAAAAAAGTTGTTCGAAATGTGTTGGCTCGACCTATTCTTCGAATTCCATGTGAAGGTGAATTGAAAAGCCATGTTTTTACTATGTTCGATGCCGTTTTAGTTGGCGTATCCTTACATGAAGACATGTTCATAATAAAATAAGCTGAACAAAGTATGATTTTAAAATATGCATCATTTTGGCTTCTCATCAATCATCAACTCATTTTTATTAATTTTATAGGAAAAAGAAAAAGAAAAGTCAATAGATTTTATTTTTCAGATATCTTTGATTAATAATAAGAAAGAAAACAAAAACATGACTGAAGTTCATTTTCAAGCACCACTTGTTATTGATAATAAAGATGGTTGGGGACCAACTGAAGACACGTTTCAATATAAAGACATGCCCTATCAACCGTATTCCAAAGGTGATCAATTAGGCAAAGTATGACATATTTATTATTTTATTTTGTCTTCTTTCTATTGAGAATATATATTAGATTGCTGATTGGACAGGAACTATTTATGGTGACAAACGAAATTATAGTAAACATAATGCACAAAGAAAAATTTTAAATTAATAAAAAAAAAAAAAACTTTTTTTTTTTTCTTTAGATCGATATCGTTCACAGTTTGGTGTTGGTGTTGGAATGTATCAATATATTCATGAAGATGATGAAAATACATTTCAACTTGTTGATTCAACTCGATTACCTAAACCAGCTTATCAAAAACGAACACGTTTTCAACAAAATGTTAAAACAAAATAATAATATTAGAAAAGGATAATAAAACTAATTTTTTTCGTTTTTAGCGTTTTCGTCAACAACAAAATCAAAATAATCGTTTTGCACAAATGCAAAAAACATTTACAGGACCACAGAAAAAATCTAAAATAATGAAAAATTTAGAAATGTAATCTATTGAATTTTTTCTTATTATTTTTTTTATTCAATGAATTCTAGGGATCAAATGCGACAAATGAGAAAATGGCAAAAACAATTTGGTAATCGAACTGATCCACGTCAACATGTAAGATATGAATATTTAACCAGATTTTTAGGAAAAAACCTTTTTTATCAGCGAAAGTTCAGAACATTTTCTAGAAATGTCTTTTGAAGGTACTATCAGTAACCTCAAGTTTTTGAATTCATATTTTAACTATAGGTCGAGGAAATTTGAACCAGAGTTGGGATCGATTCAGTTCCAAAAAAATGCGAATCGACCGCATCTCTGATCTGAAATTCAACTCTTCTCAAAGAATAAAATGTTATTCTATATGAGAAGGTCACCCATAAGAAAACTTTCACATGGCGTAATAGAAGTTCTAGAGTTTCCATAATGGAAGGCCATGATCTTTGTTCTGAAGAGTTTAGCACAGCCTCTAAAGAATTTTTCAATCTAGTGGAATTTGAACAAAATATGAGTGTTGTAAGGCAACAGGGATTTTTCATCTTTTTATTATTTTATAAAAATACTATGTTTTGAAACATTCATATTTCGGTGAAATCTCAATGAGTAGAAGAATCTTCTGGAAGTTGTACTAATGTAGATGTCATCTATCTATAGGCAAAGTATGAATTCAAAAGCTTGCAGTTAGTGATGGTACCTTCATTCGACATTCCTAGAAAATATTTTGATATGGGTTTTAACCATTTGAGACAGAAAATGGCAAACCTTTTCTCCCAAAGTGGTTTTCTGACTATTGCTTACCTGATTAACACGAAAAAAATAGTTGAATATCTATGTATTAACCAATATATAACTTTTTGACCGGTTAGAAAGTAATTCCTACGAACTAAGAACTATTGGTCGCGACCGAAATTTGAATATGAGCTCAAAAATATTGTGTCTAATTTTGTTTAAGAGTAGTGACGAACTTTTTGAAAGATCTGAAAATGATGAACAGACAAGTTTTCGTTTACTCTATAAATTCCTTTTCGAATATGCTAAAAATTATCGGAGTCAATAGTTTGTAAAGCAAACACTTCTCTACAAGATGTAATACTGAACTAACCTGTAGCTTTCACCGAAGCATATTTTAAGAGCTCGTTTCGACATAAAACAGTTTTCAGTTTTTCATAAATGAGTATCTACGAAAACAACAACAACAACAACTGAGATGCTTTGTTGAAAGAATTAAAAAAATTCAAATAGTGCATCTTGTAGAGTAGCTTCTGATCTACAAGTTAGGCTTTTTAAAAATTAGTTCACTATTTTCGAAGAAAAAACTTAAAACAAAATTAATTATATATTTTTAATAGCAACAAGCTAAACAACGTGAACCATCTGTACGTGTACGAGAAGATTGGCAAGTTATCGAAGAAATACCATTTACTAGTCTTGCTAAATTAAGTTTACCAAATGTTAATGAACCTGAAGAATTGTAAGTCTATATTAATCAATACAAAATAAATTTTAATGGAAATATATAGGAGTGTTTGGGGTTCACTTGAATATTATGATAAACGATATGATCGAATAACAACAAAAAGTGAAAAGAAGTTAATTATGGTTAATCGTTTAATACATAAAATAACTACAACGAAAGATCCAGTTATTCGACAAGTGAGTCAAAGATTTACACCGAATTTTTTCTTTTGTTATTTGAAATATATATATTTATTCATTAGATTTGTAAAACACATGGAAATGTTTTTGCTACTGATGCAATTATTTCAACATTAATGTGTTGTACAAGATCTGTTTATCCCTGGGATATTGTTGTTGATGTAAAATTCAAATCATTTTGTTTTCTATGAAATGAAATATATATTTGTTTTGTTCTTTTTGTAAATTAGAAATTAGGTACACGATTGTTTTTTGATAAACGAGAAGATTCAACAATTGGTAAGGAATATAATTTGTAGATGTATAATAGTTTATTATTGTAATTAGATATGTTAACGGTAAATGAAACTGCAAATGAACCACCACCAGATGATGGTACAATGGATTCAGCAAAAAACTTAGGAATGGAAGCTGTTTTTATTAATCATAATTTTGCACAGCAAGTTCTTAAAATGGTATTTGAATTCTTTTTAAATAAAAAAATAAAGTTATATATGGAATTTTTCGTTTCAGAATGAAGAACGATATAAATTTCCAAATCCAAATCCATTTATTCAACCTGATGAAGAAAATGAAGCTGCATCAGTTGCTTATCATTATCGTTCATGGAATTTAGGTAACAATCAAAAAATTGTTATTCGTTGTGAACAAGATTGTGTTCAAATTGGACCTAATGGTGAAGAACAATTCGTTAATATTAAAGCAATAAATGAATGGAATTCGAAGGTATTTAGACACAAAAGATAATGACATAATCAGCAAATCTTTGTTGGAAGAGGAAAGGAAGACACTCACGAGAGAACATCTTCAATTGATCAATCGCTTTGGAATTCGACTCTATGTTAGAGACTGTCAGATCCAAAATTTTCCGGCCCAGACTTGATCGGATCTGGGTCCCAAGCTAACCTGCCGGCCTACTCTACTGTATGCATAAGGTTAACCTCAGTGAGATGTAAAAGATAACTCACAAGAATAAATTTTCTTAAGTGTTTTATCCAGAGTTATAGGCGTTTTACTAAAATTTCAGTCTCTGGTTTGGTTTATAATAAGAACTCGAATGACAGCATTTCAGCTTGAGATGTCGCCCACAGACAGGTCTATTTGTTAGTATAATGCTCTAAAACTTTTAGCTCAAAAGAATATTTTCTTTCCGCGATACAAAAGTTCCAAAAAACAGAAAATGCTAATACTTTTCGTGAAATATTAGTGATTTTTCGAACTTTAATATATCGATCAGAGCACATTCCTCTGAGTTTAAATTATTGGGGCATTATAGCAACAAGTAGACCTGTGGGTAGGCAAGATCTCAGATCGAAATGCCAGCCTTTGATTTGTTGATATATACCAAGTCGGAGGCTGAAACTCCAGGAAAATGTCTATAACTTTGGATAGAAGACCTAAAGTAACTTATCTTTTCTGAGGTTTTTTAGATGTCACTGAAATCAATCTTATACACAGAGCCAAAATTCAAAAGCGATTGATTAGTTGAAAACATTGTCTTGTCAAACCTATGACCATATTTGTAGTAAAAACAGAGACCTCTCTGATCATGTTGTCTAGAAAGAGCTCAAACACCTTTCTATAAACAGGACTTACGAGGGAAGCCCTTCAACTAATAAATTTCCTTTAAGTCGAAACTATACATATTATATGTACCCAAAGGAGCTATGAATATCCTAAAAAGAATTCGTACCCTTTGCTTTTTGTTGCAACGATACTTTATTGTTAAATGAACTTCAAACCGTGATCTCCTTACCAACATCAGCAATATTGATTTTCGAATTTCAACTTGAAACTCAGCATACAGACAGACCTTAACGAGAATAGTTTATTGTGAATGTTTCATACTATGTTACTTTTCTTATTCTAAGATAGAACGATGGTAATAGCGTATCTTTTACATCCATCATATAAATTGGCAGATTTGATGTTCTTATTTCAGAATGAAAGCAAATTAAAAGACTCTAAACTCTTACAATAAACTATTCTCATAGAAACCTGTCTCTATATGAAGTTTCAATTCGAAATTCGAAAATTCGTTTTTCGCATGTTCCTAAGAAGCATGGTTGCCAAATCTCCTGGTATCAGGAGATGGTTTTAACATTTTTTTCTGGTTTCTTCTGATTTTGAAGACTTTTTATCTTGAATTTTAGTGACATTTTGAATCGAAAAGATAAACGGAAATAAATAAAAAGAGAATGATCACAATATTCGATGGATTAAACTACCATCAGATAAAGCGTTGTTTCTGCTGGATTTTTCTAAGAATAAGATAATGAATTTCATAAACAAATTTTGTAGTAAGAACTTATGTGCTTTTAGCTAAGAAGAAAAAATCATCGTGTATGTTTTAAATACTTTCGTCGCAAGCATATGAAATCAGTGCTGTGGCAAATTCCTTAGAGACTAGTCTTTTGCCAAGATCGTATCTATTGTGAAGTAAATTTTTTTTTTCTATTTTGTTTGTATAGTTTAATGATTGACTGTGAAATAAATGGTAATATAAAGTACGTGAAATACGCTTTCTTTTTCCTTGTAAGTCATTCAGAGAAAGATTTTGCTATCACTCACTTGGCACCAAAGAGTAAATAAATGCTTTAATGAACGAAAATTTCAGTTTACTATAACAACGATCACGAGCTAGCTTTCTGATGCTGATACAAATTTCCTGGTGAACTCCTGGCTTTTTGGAAGAAATTCCTGGTTTTTGAAATTTCGATTCGGCAACCCTGCGGAAGAGGATCACAGCACTCATTCAAAAGTAGACTATTCCCACAACAATAAACTAAGCATACGTACTCTTTTCAGGATATTCAAACTTCATTTGGATCTACATATAATTTACATGGTCTTGATTCAAAAGCAACTTATCAGTTGGAAGACTTTCCTCATTAGTCATTTTTAGTGAGAGCATCTAGTTACGTCCGTTTGATTATGCTACAAGAAACAGGATTAATATGTTAGCTTAATAAAGAAAAAGAAATGATATTTAGATTGGTAGTGGTCTTGATTGGCGAACTAAATTAGATATGCAACGTGGTGCTGTCTTAGCAGCTGAATTACGTAATAATGGCTTTAAATTAGCTAAATGGACCACATGTGCCATTTTAGCTGGCTCTGATCAAATGAAATTTGGCTATGTATCACGGCAAAACTTTAAAGATGCATCACGTCATACAATACTTGGAATGCAAAATTTTAAACCACAAGAATTTGCAACACAAATGGCTTTAAATATGGATAATGGTTGGGGTATTGTACGCGGTACGTTTATGAAAAAAATAAATAAATAGAAAAAAAACTTAAATTGAAATATTTGATTTTTTAAGTATTGGTTGATTTTTTTATGAGTAAGCCTGATGGTCGATATTTAATTATGAAAGATCCAATGAAGGTAAAAATCTTCATTTTGAATTTTATTAAATTTAATGAATTTTTGTTTTCCTTTTAGCCTATTCTTCGAGTAAGATGACTTTATTTCGATGAAAAAAAAAATGCATAGTTGAAATTTTTGGTATTTTTATAGATTTATAGTGTACCGGAAAATTCATTTGATAGTGAAGAAGAAACAAGTGAGGATGAAAATGATCATCAAAACTCAGAACAACAAAAGAAATAAAAGCAAGATTTTTATTATCATTATTATTGTTGAATGTTATTTGTTGTGACGTTTATTTAAAATCCTTAAAAAAAGAAAAGATCTTGTTTGTCTTTCAATTCTTTTTTTGTATTTAACTACTAATCAATTGCATGTTTATCAGAGTCCCGTATGGTATGACACAATTCCTTGCTGTTCCATCCCATATGATAACCATTCTTCACAAATAGCTATTTTTTTTAAAAAGAAACACCAGCTTTTCGCTATAGATCTTATTCTCGCTTATTATAGTAGCCTATACAGCATATAATGATTTTATAATGCTGATTCAATATTGTTTACTGTGACGTCACAAATACTGGTAAAGTCATTATTAATAAATAATGCCAAATGGACGTAGTATAGATTTCATCTTAATTTACAAAAGGCTTATAGTCAAAGAGATATCAAGATATCTAGGAAAGAATTGTCGATTTTTTTTAGGGGCGGAGAAGCTAAAAATTTGACAGAAAGTGCTTTCATCCTCGCAGTGCTAGAAGTTGTGATCAGAGGGAAAGACGAGGAAAGAACGAAATCTACTGTGACCCGGTCTCTCCCACAACAGGCAGTGTGTCATCAGGCCGCTCCTTCCTTGGAGTATGGTTCAGTTCTATTCGTCACGCAACGACATTATCTGCTTATGTTTATTCCACTTTCTGCTAAAGAAAAGCAAATGATATTGTGACATCCAGTTTCTGTCTAAATTTATCACGAAGCTGAAAAAACTAGCAGAAAATATTAATAATTTTAGCAGAAAATCGGATGTTTTGGGAACAGTTTCTCATCTCCTTACTCGAAAACTGTTATCTAGACACTACCGTTGAGTCGCATATACTTGAAGAAAGGTAAAAACAAAATAGAAAAGTTTCACCATGAAAGGAATCTTTTTCAACATTGTGAGCACCAACACATCTATTGAAAAGCTTCTGACTGTACTGTGTAGCTGACTGATCTCAGATTGGTTTTAGAAGAAGACTGACACAGAGATTCACGACAGTTTGCTAGTACAATACTAATATACCAGATTATCTTCAGTAAGGATGTAAACTGTGTTAATATTTTAGTACTCCATAATTTGTATACGAGCTAGAGGAGCAAATGAAGAAACTTTTTTCGATTTTATATGTAGTGTTTTTTCTCCATTCTTACTGTGTTGTATTCATCTGAGAGAAGGTTACGTGTCTTTCATTGTGACAGTATCAAAAAGAATTATGAAATGAAGTGATGTTTGATAGCATTAGTCTACATGATGGGTATGTCAATAAATTATACTTCTTTAAAAACGAATTTGACGAAGGTCATATTTCATAGGATGAAAGACGAAATATTTCATAATAACTGCATCCTAAGAGGTAAACCACTTTTAAAACATCTCTGCTTCATTTAAGACACAAAATCTTTCAGACTTATTCTATTCCATAAGGCAGACTGGAATAGCTTGTCTCATGAATGATTTTCTTTGCGTTCCATACCACTTCATGTAGAAGCTTTATGCACATGTTAACAAATAAGAATCGATTCTTATGATCTTTCGATTCAGTAGTAATATAAAATGTTGTAATTTGTAGATTCTTGTCTTTGCTAGTTTTAGATTAGTAATGAAGCGAAAAAGGTGCTAATATATGTAGATATTTGCTTTATTCTATCTAAGTCAAAAACCTGAAAAAGATGGCGTTGGATGTTGACGATGAATTGCCCGATCGGGAAAGTGGTATGATTCAAATACAAAAAAACTAAAAGAAAAACTGAAATATTCATTTTTTATTCTATTAAGCTGGACAATTCTATCAAAAATATGATCCTAAAGAAGTACTTGGTAAAGGTTTATCATCTGTTGTACGTAAATGTGTTGAAAAGGCTACTGGTAAAGAATATGCATGTAAAATCATGGAATTTAATGATGATAGTGATGATGAACATGCTGCTACATTGCGTGAAATTCAAATACTTAAATTAGTAGGCGGTCATCCAAATATAATTGATATAGTTGCTTCATTTGAAACACCAAATTATGTATTTATTGTTATGGAACTTTGTCCATATGGTGAACTTTTTGATTATTTAACAAAAGTTGTTCGACTATCAGGTTTAGTTTTATTATTTGCTTATATGTTTAGAAAGATTTTGTATTTTTCGATTTATAGAAAAACGTACTCGTCAAATAATGTCAAGTATATTACTTGGCGTTCATCATTTACATTCTCATCGTGTTGTTCATCGAGATTTAAAGCCAGAAAAGTAAAATGAATAAAACATAATCATCAAATTTTATTATTTGTTTGTTTATTTTTTTTTTTGTATTAAGTATTTTAATGGATTCAACAATGAATGTTAAAATAACCGATCTTGGTTTTGCTGTTCAAGTAACTGATAATGAATCTTTATATGATCTCTTTGGAACACCTGGTAAATAATTTTTTGTCTTCAGTTTAAAAAGGTGTCAACATAATTTCTGTAGGATTAAAATGTGAAACACAATGTAGTTGCCGTTGCTAATCATAAAGAGATTGTTTTATTCTATCTATTTTGGAACATATTTCTTCATCATCCTTTTACTTAATTCTCGAGAAATGCAATAAAGAAGTAGTTTATATATTAGAACGAGATATTATTGATATACAGTCTGTGATAGCCTCTAACTGATGTCTCTCACAATCGGTAATGATCTTTGACTAGACTTCAGAGATCGGATCCATTCGTATTTTTTTGGAACCGAACCAATCTGGGTTTTTAAGAAATTCGAACTGACTCGATTCCATCTCGGCTAGCTTCGTTTGCAGTATATGACGTTTCCATGTTTATTTTTGTCACGGTCTATAGAAGAAGGTTCAAATGTTAACCCCTATACTTAAACACTCCTTTTAGATCATGTTTCACAAAAGAATTTTAAAATTTCTTTTAAGGTTATATGGCACCTGAATTACTTCGTTGTTCACAATCGGATGAGGGACCTGGTTATGGTTTACCAGTTGATTTATGGGCATGTGGTGTTATTTTATATACACTACTTAGTGGTTTACCACCATTTTGGCATCGTAAACAACATTTAATGTTTCGTATGATTACGGAAGGACAATATACAATGACGGGTTCAGAATGGGATGATGTATCTGAAACAGCAAAAGATTTAATTCGTCATTTATTAGTTATTAATCCAGCTGAACGTTATACAGCTGCACAAGCACTTCAACATCCATTTTTTATTAGCGAACGAACACGACGAAAAGATTTCATGCCTAAAAGGACACTTAAAGCACATATTATACTTGTTTGGTCAATCTATCGTTTAAGAACATTACATTATAAACCACAACCTATTCGAGGAAAAGATTTACTTGGTAAGATAAAAAAAAAAAGAAGAAATGATATTTTATTTTTATTTTTTAATAAATTCATTTATCTTTTTCTTTTAATAGAAAATCCATATCGATTTAAATCTTATCGTAAGATGATTGATTCAACAGCATTTCTTCTCTATGGACATTGGATTAAAAAAGACGAACATCGAAACCAAAATCGTGCTACTTTATTTCAAACAGAAGAAAAATTTGATCTTGTTCGACACGAACAACGATCTCAAGATCGACGAAATTCGTAATGCATTGATATGTTATATTAACCGATTCAAAATTATGCTTTTATTATTCGATGTCATGTACCTATTCATATCTAGAAAAGATAGAATAATAGCTCTTTATTTTCCTTAATATATATGCACTTTTTCCTTTTATTTTCACTAAACATGTCATTTCGACAATCTTTTTTTCTAAACAAGTATTTATTTTATATGGTTAAATAAACACTAAAAGAAATATCGAATTTCTTTTGTTGCCATGTATTTTGTATAGTTGCTTACAGTTGATATATAAACCATGATACATAAAAAAACCAAACAATTTTTTTGTCCTTTTGAGATTCTTAGAATGTGTGAAGAAAACATAAAAGCTGAAAAAAAAACTTTTAAACTAGTAAAATATGGGACATCTATCCAAAGAGAGTTCTATCTTCATATCTAAAAACTAAAAGAAAAACAGCTACAAATATTGATATTGTATCTATATGGTAAAAAGTATTTTACTCGTGAAAAGTTGAAAATCTTATGTTGTCAGGCGTTAATAATAATAATTAATTGGTAGATAAAAAAGTATTCGAGAAGCTTAGCTTTAGTATTCAATGTAAATTTCTTTTTTTTTTTTTTTGAAAACCTAGAATTGATAAAAATCACTGAAATGAAAAATTAAACTTTTCTGTTTCAGTTAACAACAGGAAACCTATTTAATAGCTGCTCTAACAATTTTTACCTTCGAAAGGAAGTATACATTTTATGCATGTTAAAACATAATATGAGACGGTGGACTACATGAATTTTTATACTTGATTAAGCATAAAAAATCAGGCTATTAATTTCTAGATAAATACGAAAATGAAGTTCAATTAAAATTGTTGCGATATTGATAGAATTTCTGACAAATCAATAATCTTGATTTATTTCATTTACTATATGACCAGAAGTGTCCCGAACAGAAGATCGAAAAAGTCACCAGCTAATGTTAAAATATTTTCGTTTTTCTCCAGTGAAGTTCCGGCGTGTTTTTGCTTCTCAGTCCTCAGAAAAACATTCACTCTCTCTACGAAGTCTAATGAACTTTAGCAAAAATCTTCCAATCAAACTCCTGAGTCATCAATCTCTCCCAATTTCGAAGATCTCGAGACATCTCTGCAAATGATAAAAATTGTGCTACGTATATTTCGTATCATATTAATAAATGAAACGATTTTACTTAAACTAATTTTTTGCCGGAGCAAGAAACACAAGATATGAAAAAAGATGATATCAAGTAAAATATCAATCCTTGTATCTGTTCTAATTTTGTTTATTAAAGATAAACACAGAAGATTTTCTAACTGATTATTCTGAGAAACAACATATTCGGTAGGTAACATAGGTGAAATAATTAGTCGAAAAATGTAGAAATGATAAATATAAATTGTACAATGATCGACTAATTTTAAACAATTGACAATAAAAAATGTCGATTGTATTCAGTAAAAAAAATATACAAATTTGATCAGTGAGATATACAGGTTAACGATGGCATAAATATGTATAGGCTCAAAAGAATGTTTAGTAAGAACTCAAATAATGATTAAAAAAATCTAAAATAAAAAGTGAACTATTATCATAGCAATAGTAGGTCTAACCATTGCTGCTGATCGTACATAACAATATTTTAAACGAATAGCCTTATAAACAATTAAAGGTGTCAGCTGATCGGCTGAGCCCCGCCACCGTTCTCCAAAATAGTTGCTGAAGATTCTAATTGCTGTGACACAGAAATAGATATTTGATTTTGAAAAATTTCCAACGTCTCAAATCAATTTTTGCCAATGTTACTGTCTGATTTCTTTTCAATAAGTTCTCCATCATCTTTTTCTCTCTATCTCATTTCAAAACACCTGTATGAACAATATGTTTGCATATGTAGGTTTTAAAAAATCAGCTAACCAGTTGCATTGTGATTTTTCCCCATGTAAACAGTTCTTCTTTGTCATATACAAAAATACCAAATAACCTCATCCTTTCCTCGCCTACTTTTTATAGATTAGTTTCTTTTCTCTTGCTAATATTGGACAGATGTTGTTTCTGTCTCGTTCATTATTATCTTTAAGATATTCTTTATCATGAATTTTTCTCTTATTCTCGTACACATATAGTTGTTCATCTGTTGTAATATAGGAAAACCAACTGCTCTCAGGCGTTAATAACATCTGTTCTGTTACATCAACGTGAGCACAACATTTTACACTGATAGAGAAGCTTCAATTTTTTCCAAATTTTAAAAACGTTCTGCAATCGAACCATTCTTTTCTATTTATGTTCGATTATTTCGAACCTGACCCTTAAGCTGAAATTTAGCTAACGTTAATGAATTTTATTTACTGATTTTTAAATTTATTTACAAATCTAAATGGTTAATAGGTTACCATTTAAGTAATTTACTGATAAATTAGTTACTGATTTCATAATTATTTCACTTATTGGCTATTTAATCTATTTTATTGACCATTTAAATGATAGAGATTTATAGACATGTTTGTATACTAGAAAATTCTTTATTTTCTGGTTGCAGAATAATTTTTCTACAAATATCTGCAGATCGTCAAAGAAAAAAAAAGTTATGTAACTTATTCTTTATCCATCATTCATAATATAAAAACATTTCGTTTTTACATCGATCAAAATTCGAAAGAACTAAAATATGTTTAAGTAAGGTTTCTTTTTTGTTACTTTTATTATATTCAAATAAAGACTTTTCTCTATATGTAAAATAAGTCAATTATTATTTTATTTTCCATTTTGTAGAATATCATCAAAATATTGAAAGCGCGTTTTCCTCGATTGAATTCAGTTGCATATCATTAAAGAAAAAAACAATCAAGTTTGTCACTATTTAGATGCATGATGTTTATTGTAATTGGCATTGGAACAAATATTGAAGATTAATGATTTTATTTCTAGTTATCAAAAATTTGAACGTTGCGGTGTCACACTAATTATTCTACCATAAAATGGTTCCAAGACTGTGCCTCATAGAACACTGCAGTAGACAAGAGATCTCAGCATCTCTTGAAAAAACTATTCTGTTGTAATGAATACAACTACATTTATATGCATGACTGATTGTTATTAGTTTTTTTTTATTTTGATGTATTCTTCAAATAAATATTATTCTCTTTAAATAACACTATGAAAATGAAATAGTGAGTGTGAGATGTTCAGGACGAAGAATATGGAGTATGGATACCCTGGTAAATAACCGTGCTATGTCCTATACGGCCATATTTTGATAGTTCATATCGAAGGTGCAAAATTGACTGCTAAGATAAAGAGTTTTCTTCAACGCAGGGAAATTTTTCAAAACTTTTCTATACTTTCAAATTAAAATAAATAATTTTAAAAAAGTATATATTAAAAAATGCCTACAGAAAACCAAAGATTACTACGCACTCAAAATAACTATATGTAAAATAATAAATTAGTTGCATCAATCATCAAATAATATTGATAGTCTTGATACTTAGTCATCCCAGAAACGATTTATCATAATTTAAGACTTAAAAGTTTTAATGTTCAATATTCTTTACTTAACACTAGGTGCTTCAAATTATGATAGAACCGGCGAGAGTGAGGTAAGTGAGTAGAAGGTTAGCAAGATAACAAAACTTTCTAACATGTGACCTTGCATTCACCGATTCATTTACGATTTGTGGCAAACAATTCTTTATGTGTATTAGGAAAAACAAATTAATGGTTAGCCTAAACAATATACGCAAGCAGATGAAATACTCTCATACTGCCTACATATTGGAAAGTAAAACAAAACGTAATATAGGATATATACGTGTTGAAGAAAAGATCTTTTGAATTGTGAAAGAAATTAAACAGAAGCCAATTGTATTGCTCTCTGTTGAGAAATCGATCATGTAATTTGTGCAGAAACTTTGTATTCTACATTACTGCGAAAGAAAAACCTTATCAAAGAGTTTTCTACATTGAAAAGTTTTTTATGTATACAATTATTTTTTGAAATTCTTCTCGATACGTGTTGAAACACACAGGTAGATTCTGTAGATATAATTTATATAGCTCAATAGTACAATTGTTTATACCCATGACCATATTCTGACCAAAGGTATCATATATGGAAAACTATAAAGCAAAACTAAGAACATTTAAAACCTTTAATTACGAAGACGTTAGACGAGCGTTTTTATGTCTTTAAATGGTTGTATTTTATGGTATACAGTATGAAGGTATATGAGCACAATGCTAAGGGAAGAAACATGTCGTATGTTTCAAAGCATAATCATTTACAACTGTACGTATTTTAACCTGAATACTTCATTAAATTTGTCAAAAAAACTCGCCTCGCAAAGGTATCGTTTTTTTAACTAGGTAGGATAAATGTTTAACTGCCTCTTGATTTTTTTATTCGTTTATATGTAGAAACGTTTTAGTTTCAAGTGTAATTAGATTCGAGTTAAATACTCCTGGTTAGGCTTTATAACTTTTTATTGCACTCAGAATTCTTTCTCTCGTATGATAATAGAATAAAAATGAAGTTTCAAAGGTACAGATTAAAGTGGCCCATGGGAAATCAAATTTATCCAGGAATATTTAGTTATGCTTCAAGCTCGTAGAGAATTCGTATGTCTTATCGAACTTTGATTATTTTGTCTCCTTTTTTTTTCATTTACTTCAGTTAGTATTGAGAAGTAAAATGAGATAAATTTGACTTCTTCGGTGACCGATGCCTTTTTTGTCGAAATATACTTGCTTCCAGGGATTGATATAATAATCACATAAGTTCATTACGAAACAATAATATTTGAATATTTTTCTTTCTTTTTATAAGATAAATTCCTGTAACATTTCCAATGAATTCAGCATTATTACAGTCATAAAAGATGAGTACAGAAGAAAAAAAAAGCGAGAATAGTTCTTAATTGTTTACTAATGCCAGACGACGTCTAGCAGTAACTGGTCGTCATAGTCGTTGTATTAATATACTTTTTCGTGTTTTTATATTAGGCATTAAATAAGCATTTGCCTCCCTTTTACTTTTCTGTGCGGAAATCCAACGACGTTTGCCTCGTAAAAATTCCATAGGACCTAATAATTGAATAAATAAATATGATATAAATCTGATTTTGATCACATACGCTGTGTTTTTCTAACCCAATTAAAATATTTTTCTCCTGATTCAGATTGACCATTATATGAATTTGAACGCATTTTTACATTAGTTGTTTTATCCATTGATGGATGTTGATCCATTAATGAAGAGACAGCTTTGTTGATATGAGGTTTCATAACAATCATATCAATTAGTCTTTGCTCAGTATTTTCAAATGACGAAGTTTTATCTATTTGAATAATAATAAAAATCTATAACTAATTCAAAAAATAACACTTACGATTGATGATACATATAAAAAGAATAAAAAGAAAAATGATCATATTATTGGTAACCATCATGACTGGAGAAGAATGTTGTTACTACTTGGAGTGAAATAATAAAATATATATATATATATATTTATTTATGCCAGTAAAGATAGTTATATCTAAACATAGATATATATATGTAAATACACTTTCAAAAAATAAAATTTTTCACAACAATGTTCACTTAAAACATTGGTGATGCTTAAATATATAAGTAGATTTTCATGACATAATTATTTTTTTTAAAATTATTTACACCTACAAACATGCTGATTTTTTTCTCGAATGAATTATCAATATTATTTAATTATTAAGAATAAATGTGAGTAGTGTTCGAAATATTTAACTTCCGACTAACGGAAGTTAAATATTTTTCATAGAGAGAGCGGTAGAATAGTTAAACTAATATATCATGATTTTGTTTTACCTTTAAGGAGTAAACGTAATCTTTTTTTTAACAAGAAAAATAAATTCAATGACATTGTGTGCGTTGTGTTTGGTCGTTCTAACTATTTACAACTTAAAAAATCATCATTAAACGTTCAATTAATATTATACATGAATGAATTCATATCTATGATTGTTAATTATTGAGATAAATAGAAAACTTTCTTTTTTATTTTTATTGATAAGTTTCTGAGAACATATATAAAAATGAACTATGAAAGATATATGAGGCCTTCATGACCTTTTAGAATTAATAAAATATATTTGTGAAAAAATATCTCACACACATGCCTCATATCTTGGCTGCCATACATGCTATAGGTCAGAAAGTTTGTATGCACATACTCCGTTAGAATGTAGGTCTGAGACACGATTTTACCTCGGTTGTTGAAATGGAACGAGAATTATGACGGATCATATCTATTGACCATTATAATTTCATGCCTCTGAAAAAGAAAGAAGTTTATCAGTCGATCCATTCCTCGTTTATTCCTAGTTTGTTCCGGTTATCTTCCGAATGTATTTCATCGGAGTTTGTCGGTCGGGGTTCGACGTAAGATAGGATCGTTTCATCCTGCCCTTGGGGGTAAACAGCTACTTATATGAACATTTTTTATAACACAAGATATAACTTTTTTTTCGTATATACAGCGTTCTTGTCTATTTCAATAGAATTATCGAAAATAAAATTTTATTCTATCCTGTAAATGATTATGCACTGTAGTCATTGGACCACAGTAAAATGGACAATAATGAATGAATAAATAAATAAACAAAATCCGCAATTTGTTCTATTGTAATTATTAGAAGCAGTGAAGTGATTTAGATTCTAGTAATAACTGACAACATGTTCTCTGAAAGTTTATCGTCATCTATTATTGAATGACAATCTGATCCATCTAATTCAAGCGTGAATTTAAGAGAAGAGAGTGCTAATACCTACCAAGTGATGTGCAAGCGACAAATTCGTATCGAAGATAATCTGATTGAATTTTATCATTACATGTCATTAAAAAGAAGCTGGTACGGAAATTTTATTATTATGATATTAATTGAAGTATGATCAAATGTGACAGAAAAATAACAGTGTGTTTACCATCACTGCATGTAAAGAGATTTCCTCAAACTTTCGATATAGACGTCAGGTAATTTCGGCAATACTTTTGGATCGCTCTCAGGGGTATAACATTTTATATAATAAATCAAATGGGAAAAGATATTAATAAATGTAATTTTTTTTTGAAAATCATTTGACGAATATGATGTCACATGGGATAAGACAGGGCATGAGATTTTTAGATGTATCCCATTCCATGAGACCATTTTTTTCTGTCGCATCTCCTCTCACGTGAAATCTTGTCATCAATCCTTCCTAGAATTGTAGTTATTTTTCCATAATGATTCGAATGGGGAAGGGGGGAGAACTATCTACCGTCCTTTGGAGATTAGAACTCATTAATAGTACAGTGAATCGAACTGAAACTTGTACATAAACTTTGTAATTAAAGTTTCATCAAAGAATCTTCCAGTAAATGAAGATGCCATCATTATAATCATCGTATTGACGCAGAGAACTCAGAAACGTGCATAGACAACAACAATCTTTGGTTAAATTATCTGACTTTTTGACTAAAAAAACGAGCATAGACTAGACTCTACTTGCATGATAAAATATCGAAAAGTCGTTACGTATTTGAAAACAGGCAATAGAAAATTTAGTAGCTAATCTTTTTCAGACTACTAGCTTGGAGCAAAGATTGGTGCTTTTCATCATAATTCTCGTTGTATTTAAGCAGCTGTGACAACTTCGTACTTCTGAACTAAATTTTTAGTGCAGTATGTACACAGAAATTTTCAGAACTCTAACGTGTATAGTAGCTGAGATAGATGGGAAAGGGTAGTAGACGCATTCATTATTGTACTTCTAATTTATAACAATCAAATGGTGAACAATAGAATATTTAAGAATTCTTGTATTAATCATCGAAATGCGCTACAATACTAGAAGTAGCTCTTACCATATGATCCTTCTTTCCGTATCTAATTTTATAGATCTCCAAATTTTTTATATCATCTATGATGTCTTTCGTTCACTTCTAATTAATAATTTGACAAACTTATCCAACCTTTAGATTTGAATAAAAAACATAGTATGTACCAGAAAAAAGAAAATATCTTCTAGACGCTAGAGATCTGTGAGTTTTTTTTTTAATAAGCTGCTTATTAAAAAGTCAGGTAATTCTTCAAGGAAGCGTCTCTATGTTAAACTTTAAGACACGAACAAGATGTAAATATAAAAGAACTCTTAATAAATAGATCATTTGTGTTCGCTTTTATGCTAAAATTAAGTAAAATGATCAAAACTAATTGATAGATTTCTTTTGAGGAGAAAACAGCAAGTATATTCATATTCTTGACGAGTGATTATACACCAATCCATGTTGTAGGAGTCATGGTGATTTTCAAAGAAAAAACAATGTAAACTCGTGATTAATCGTGTTTCGTGAAAAAAATCAGCTTTTATCATGATTGTGGCACAAAAAATGCTTTTTCGAAGATCAGAGTTAAATCGTATTGAATCATTGACATCAATAATTGATTGAGCATCACCAATTGATTAAAGAAATATTCCAAGTTTTGTAAAATTGAGAGTCAAATAATGATTTCTACATATTTTTTTACTATAATCATAGAGATGGTCAATGAGAGATACAGAATCTACCCACGGGCGCGAGCGCACCTTCGAAAAAATTTCTCTTAGTGGAGAAAGTTTTAAAAAAGAAATTTTGTTTAGAGAAACTTTTTCTGAAAATTATTATCTAGGAATGTTTGCTCGAAAGTATTGAGTTTGCGGAAATTCTTCGAGTTAGTTTTCCGTTCGGGAAAATTTTCCCTTTTTACGACACATTCTGTACCTGTGTATGAAACCAAAATAAAGATTTCATTTCAGCATATGAATGTCACTACTATGATATTGTCAAAATTGGGGAATTTTACAAAGTAATTGAACATGACTTCGCTTTCACATTCATTTATTTCGAAACATATTTTTCATAATACAGTTGATTTCACATATGCTTTCATGTCAAGTAATTTTCCGTTTAGAATGTTTTTTTATTGTAGATTCAACTTTAGATGAGTCCTTTCAATTTCAGATTAATATAAAGCTCAAAAGAACGTCTTTCTTCTGTAAAATGATGTCTTCTGTCGTCATCCTTTTATCCATGCTTTTTCACTACACATTCTATTCCCTTCTTTCTTTTAGGCATATAATTGATTAACAAAAACGATTAGACGGAGTTGAGACTCGTATTGTACTTAAAAACTCAAACGGAGGTGGCGTTCAGAGCAACATAAACCTTAAGACAGCAGCGATCATTGTCCTAAAGCTTTTTTCCAGAGTGACGCGATCATCTCATGAAAACTGGAGGCATTCTTTTGCTGATTTTTCCACAAATTTATAGCACTAATATTTCTGAACAAATAGTACCTCATTAGCTAACACTTGCATATCAACAGAAGCAATATAAAATGAATAGAACCATATAAGTATATTTAATTTAAAAATTTTTAACTATACATACATACACTGATATGTCACCGGTTTCCATATTAATTTTTTCTACACTTGAAATTGAGCAAATTTCAGTTTGCAATCAATTTAAATCTGATACTCGTTCTGAAAAAATTCACTAAATTTTGAAATAGATCGATTTCATATCAGATTAATCTTTAATGAACATGGATTATGATGTTATTTATATGTGTAATTAACGAGTATCGAAATGAAATCATAAAACTAACCATATCACAAAAAAATGAGCCTATTAACGATTTAATCTCTTTTTTCCAGTTTTTAACGTCTGACTTTCATTTTTTTAAAAGATTGCTTGAGAAGTTCTTTACCAAATACTTACCTTCAACAATATGAAAAAACAAAGAAGCAAAAGCAAAGTATTAATCACCAAAGTTTACTTGAAAAAATTGATTCGATTCTGCATAAAATATTCGAACAGAAAGTTAATTTCTCTACAATGAAGTTAGGAAAAAAAATTAGCAAGCGAAAAACACTCAGTTTATTGAAAAAGCGGAGATGAATACCGCTTTCAAAAAATGAGCTAACAGCGTCGGAGAAAATAGTAGTTTCTGCAAAATAGAAACGATGATGAACATTAGTAACGGTAATTCCTCAAGATAAGCGCAGGGGTGTCATGATTTCTATAATGAAGTTAAGCTGTTCGTTAAGCCATACTGGATTTGAGAGAACAAATGTTCAGATGAATTTTTTCTGTATGTTTTTACATTCTTGTTGTTTATTATAAAAAAAAAAGGACATACATCATTCATATAGAACAATTATACAAATAGAAAAAAAAACTAAATAAAAGACAACTACGTTTTACTGTCATATATGAAATTAATTAAGA